AAAATGAAAGAAAAAATGTATTCACACACAACATAACCCTTTCATTCATTTTATTTGTTTTAAATATTATCGACAGAAAACTGATGAGTTGGATACCAATCACTCAATACTTGTTAAAAATGCATCCTCAGTTTCAAATCAAGTTGTTTTCAAAGAATTATCGGTAATTTCAGCTACTTTATCTGCCTTTGAGGTTTCCTACCAATTTATACAGGAGAGATGATGAAACTGGCTATGTGAAGCTGTTAAATGGGTGAAGTAAACAAACTAGAAAAACAGATCAAAACTTGTTTGAGTTGTGGTCCCTGTTGTATTCTTCTATGAGTTATACATGTGTATCATGCGCCTGAGCCAGGGAATATGAAAGTAATGTCCATTAGTCCATGCATGCAGCCTACTTTATCTTGTATTTCTGACCAATGGGTTAGGGTGGTACAAACTGATCATCTTTTCAGTTCGTTCTCAACTCCACCTGTTCTAGGTTGGAACCTAGAGTGTCTGAAGCTTTGATTTTGTCCTACAAACTATAATCAATGTAGTTGTAAATAGCTAACAGTTTTCCTAGTTTAGCATTTTTAACTATTCTAATACTTTTAGTATTAGTCTCTGGGGGTGGAGGACACTAGACTGTGTGCCCAGTACCCTGGCCTTCAAACTCTGCTTCCTGACAATGCTCCTTTTCATTCATTGACTCAGTGATGCCTTTACTGCCTTGGGGGAGCATTCATTACAGCAAATATATGCTGATCTTGTTCCCCAGCTATACCTGAGAAGGGCAGAAACTTTTATCTCTGTAAATACCTTATGGAGAAGGCAATGAGGCCCCAGTTGGGCCCAGACTGGTGAAACTTAACTGCCACACATCCGCTTGATTCAGCCAGGAATGCTCTTCCTGCTGCAAAGTGTGACTGATGCAGGAGAATCCATCCCCACAGACCCCAGGGTAGGGCCTTGTTGGGAAGCTAGGAAGCACTCTCATAAACATGAGACTAAGTATTCCTTAACATTCACTTCAGAGAAATTGGACTCAACAGTAACCTGTTTTGCTATTCTTCTTTCTACCATTAGTTTACTATGTTGACTAAAATAATGAGATGACTTCATCCCATTCATTGAAATCAGTGGAGTTACACTAGTTGGACCAGTATATTTTGATCACAAATGTGTTATTAATTGGTTTAAAAAATGACACATATTAAGGACCACACTAGTTGAGAGAGAGAGGAAAAATATCTTCCTAAGACAGGGTAGGCAATAATTTTTGATGGGGGGGCCACTCCAAGGTTTTGGAAAGTGGTTGAGGGCTGCACTCTTACGTGATATTAACGGAGGAGGTGCATGGTCTGGGAAGGAGGTTGGGTGTAGAAGGGAGCTTGGTTGGGGTAAGGGATTTGGGTGCAGGAGAGCCAGTGAAGTCTGGGAGGGTGTTTGGGTGAAGGAGGCAGTTCTGTGGCACAGACTGGGGTGCAGGGTTTTGCGTTGTGACCTAGGGCAAGAGGGGGGTTGTGACCTAGGACAGGGGATTGAGGTGCAGGGGTTTGGGTTGTGACCTAGGACAGAGGACTGGAGTGCAGGAGGGGTTTCAGGGTTTTGGGTTGTGACTTAGGGCAGGGGACTGGAGTGCAGGAGGGTGTGCAGGGGTTTAGGTTGCGACCTAGGGCAGGAAATTACAGTGCAGGGGTTTGGGTTGTGACCTAGAGCAGGAGGCGATTGTGATCTGGTGCAGTGGACTGGGGTGCAGGGTCTGGAAGGGTTTATGGGCTCTGTAGGGGAGCAGAAGGTTTGGCTTATGTGGAGGGGGGAGGGAGGGGCTGGGGTGCCAGAGGCAGGCTCTGGCCAGGAGACTTAGATGTGAGACTCCCAGCTAGCAGCCCAGCACATTTCTCAGGAAGAAGCCTGCCTCGCCCCTGCTCAGCCTGCAGGGCCATGTGCTTTGTGAATTAGAGTCTATGGGGCGTGGTGCTTAACTTGCTGCCTGTTCTTGGAACAGACAGCTCCCATTGGCCAGAAACCAGCCAATAGGATTGTGCTGGGGGGGGGGAGATCAGTGCACAAATGAAACACAAATGGCCCAGCAGTGTGCGGGGAGTAGATCAAGCAGGGGAGTCTGCGTGAGGCTCCCTGCTTCGTCTGCAGGCCAGATCCAGTGGCCCACAGAGGTATTTTGCCCAGGCCTGTCATAAGAGGAGGGCAGGACTACACAATACAGGTCTTTCTGCTTACCTGGAGTGTCTATTTGATTTATGATCCAGATGAGACTGGAAAGTATGTGATGGAGGATCTGGAAAGTGAACTGTACCACATTGGACTTAAAAAACAGTAGTCCCTATGTGCTCCCCAAACAAACCCTCCAAAATTCCAAAAACTCATATGGAGAATGACTTGTGGTAAATGCTAGTAACCACTTATCAAGTATACACTTATGGTACCTTGAATCCAACATCTACAATCCTATAACAGGATGTACACTACTTACAGCCACGTCTGTCAATGTTGAATGCCATATGACTGCAAGCAGAGATTTGTGTATACCATAAAAGCTTCAGTAAAAGTCGGTGTGCTTCACTATTACTATAGCAAAACACACCCTCTTGTGGTGAAAAGAAGAAAGTCCAAACATAAACCCACCCGTTTCTCTGTTCCACACTTTCACTCACTGATTTCTTAATTAATCCTTCTCCCTCAGTTGTTAATTATCCTTTTTTCTTCGTGTCCTGTTTACAGTGAACATCCCTCACTGTGGCACCAGTCCGGCCTTCCTGCTTTCTTTCCTTTTTTTTTACCTTCTTTTCCAGTAGTTAAATATTTTACTATTATCTCTTATAATTTTCAAATTTAAGTGTAGCTCATGCCCCATTTAACACCATATTGATTGTTTTTCGGCTTTTGATATTGAAATAACACTGAATGTTACATTACCAATATGCTGAAAATATAGCTTGCAGATATACTTTTGAAACTGCCTTCTGATTTATCACAGGTCGCTGAATTACAAGTGTAAAAAGCTAGATATGGAGACAAGAACATTGAAGAAAAATTCACTGCATATCTCAAAACCTTCAACATTACCGCTTAAACATGCTTAGTTTATCCAAACTACGTGAATCCTTCCAAGGGACCAGTAGGAGTCCTGTTCCAGTCTGTAAATGACATAGCATGCTGCTGTTTTCACCTATTTCATAACTTATTTAGGTTTGGGATGAACACCAAAGAAAAGGATTAAACTTGGAATTCATCCTAGATACTATACAAAGCTATACACCACATTCAACAGTGCAATTAATCCAGAAAAGCATTCATTTCAACTGGGAATCTTTTCAGTACTAGTATGAATTTCAGTAAGGCAGGCAGTCTCAGCAAAACAGCTGTAATAGGATTAAGTACAACAAAACATCCATTATATAAAATATATAAATGAAAAGCAAATAATATTTATTGCTCCCAGTTTGTGCCAAATCTAAAACTTAGTACTAACTGTCCAGAGACACTAAAACTATTCCAGATACTGACAGGTGAGACTCCCTGGCATGTCCCACTAATAATCTCTTTAAGTGAAGGAAAATAATAAGGTTATATACATAACCTCATGTTTTCACACCTGCTTATAGTGCATTCCTATTGATTCTAAATACTCATTCCCTAGTCCTTTAAGATTAGTGCCCTCTGTTTGACTTTTGCTCACCTGGGAGTTAGGAGATCTCTTCAAAGGAAAAACAGAGGCAATAATTGATATGGCAGCCCGTGAGGTGCTCTTGGAACACCATTGTGAAGAAGGGATAAGTTTTTTTTAGGAAGAGAAGATCGTGGCAGGCAACAAGTTTATGTGGTTACTTAGTACTGCACAATTTCTAATACGAGTTAAGCAAAAGAATTGCTGCCATTCTGACATACCTATAGTATATTAAGCTTATTAAGTTTGCAGATGATACCAAGCTGGGAGGGGTTGTGACTAATCTGGAGGATAGGGTCATAATTCAAAATGATCTGGACAAATTGGAGAAATGGTCTGAGGTAAACAGGATGAAGTTTAATAAAGACAAATGCAAAGTGCTCCACTTAGGAAGGAACAATCAGTTTCACACATACAGAATGGGAAGCGACTGTCTAGGAGGGAGTACAGCAGAAAGGGATCTAGGGGTTATAGTGAACCACAAGCTGAATATGAGTCAGCAGTGTGATGCTGTTGTAAAAAAAAAGCAAACATGATTCTGGGCTGCATTAACAGGTGTGTTGTGAGCAAGACACAAGAAGTCATTCTTCCGCTCTACTCTGCGCTGGTTAGGCCTCAGTTAGAGTATTGTGTCCACTTCTGGATGCATTAACAGGTGTGTTGTGAGCAAGACACGAGAAGTCATTCTTCCGCTCTACTCTGCTCTGGTTAGGCCTCATTTGGAGTATTGTGTCCAGTTCTGGGCACCGCATTTCAAGAAGGATGTGGAGAAATTGGAGAGGGTCCAGAGAAGAGCAACAAGAATGATTAAAGGTCTAGAGAACATGACTTATGAAGGAAGGCTGAAAGAATTGGGTTTGTTTAGTTTAGAAAAGAGAAGATTGAGGGGGGAACATGATAGCAGTTTTCAGGTATCTAAAAGGGTGCAATAAAGAGAAGGGAGAAAACGTGTTCATCTTGGCCTCTGAGGATAGAACAAGAAGCAATGGGCTTAAACTGCAGCAAGGGAGCTTTAGGTTGGACACTAGGAAAAAGTTCCTAACTGTCAGGGTGGTCAAACACTGAAATAAATTGCCCAGGGTGGTTGTGGGATCTCCATCTCTGGAGATATTTAAGAATAGATTAGATAAATGTCTATCAGGGATGGTCTAGACAGTATTTGGTCCTGCCATGAGGGCAGGGGACTGGACTCGATGACGTCTCGAGGTCTCTTCCAGTCCTAGTATTCTATGATTCTATACCTAAACAGAGTTGATACAGAATTCTGTGTCTGGAAATAACTATACTATTTCAGAAGCAGCCCTTAATTTTCTTTTCTTTTGTTTTTTAGGTATCTTGCAATATATTTAGAACTCTCCCACCTAGTGACAGCAATGAATTTGATCCAGAAGAAGATGAGCCCACCCTTGAAGCATCCTGGCCACATTTACAGGTATTTATATGTAATAACTACTTCTGAGAACAAATCTGTATCACTGCTTGATGTGTGTGATGTTTTCCTACACCATCTTTTAATATACATTGGATTTGAATTGGTTCATAAGATCTAGCAATAGACACAATTGTGATATCTTCTTAACACGGCTGTTTACTACAGCTAGAACACTTACCAAGATAGAAGAGCACTTCATAATGTGTTCAGTGCTTTCCTGATTAAGCCAGGGACTTAAATTCAGCTCAGGACTAAGAGTGACATTTTCCATCACTGCATTACAAAAAAATGCTTGTAGAGAATTGCATCTCTTAGTGCTGATCTTGTACACAGTACTTCTTAGCAGATTCATCAGGAGTGGAATGACTAGTCATCCTGGTCACTTTTGCTCTGCTGAGCTATGAGAAAATTGCTACTATGCAGAAGAAGCACATGTGAGCCTTTGTTGCTATTCATGAGGATGAAGGAGAATTATACAGAGTTCTTGCATTTTTCCTTCCTTGTGTCCTCCTGACACCCCCATGTTTCTTTTTAGAAGCATTTACAAAAAATAATTGCTGCTCATTAAGGCAAAGCAGCCACAGTGTCATCTTGTTATAGGAGAGTTTGCATGGAAAAGCGTTACATTCCTTTTTAAATTTATTTTTAGCTTGCCTTTTCTCTCAACACCAATATGTATCCATGCAAAAACTGGAAGGGAGCAAATTTTTAAAATCTTTGGTCTCCTAGAAAAAAATGTGATGGGACAAATTGACAGCAGCCAACAACTCATCTGTCTACTGGCAGGTCATAGCTGCCTTCCTAAGAGAGCTAGATAATATATGTTGCACTTTCCTTTGGCCTTGTTACATGCATTTTATATATTATCTGAATTGGTCTGGTAGGTCACAGTCCCTCCTGAATTATATAGGCAGAGATGGACTTCTGTGAGAGCAAGCATCTCTAGCTCAGGGGCTATTTCTCAGTGAGTTGGAGATTCCTCATTAAATTCCATTCTGCATTAGTCTGCAGTGTTTCAGTCCGGACAGTGAACAGTTTCTAATTACAATGAAATGTTTCCATACCCTCTTGAAATCATAAAGGCCTTATTTTGTATCACTTCAGGATTCTAGAGGATAGTGAAAATGTGCTTGTCAGTTACTCCAGAAAGCTGTACAAGCCAGTGAACAAAGCATTACAAGATGACATGGCCTGTTCTTAGTGGGAATCAAGATGAAATTCGTCTGACTTTTAGGGTCTAATGAGCACGATTAACATGTTATGCTCATGTAATTAATTCTAGCTGTAAGGTAGCACCTCAGTAAATTTTAAAAATCCATAAGATCTTTTGAAACAGACATTTTCTTTTCTAGTGCATTAGGAGGAAAAAGCTGTGAAACTTTTTACAAATAAAAAAGGAACAAAATCTGTGTGTTTTGTTTTTTGCAGCTTGTATATGAATTTTTCATACGTTTTTTGGAAAGCCAAGAATTCCAGCCTAGCATTGCCAAAAAGTACATAGATCAGAAATTTGTATTACAGGTAAGCAGTCTTGTTTTCTTTAAAACTGTCAGCATGCTTTTGATACTTAATATTAATTATTGTTTATTCCTAAAATCACTTTATTCAAAAGTAGATTGGGTAGCTTTCTTGCCCTTTCATAACAACAGGTAAGTGGGTAAAAATAAAAAAGATCCAGACTGTCAGAGGAAGAGAATATCCTTCCATCACAGAAATTCAGAGTAGATTATCAGAATGGTGCCTTCTGGATCTGGGGTAAGACCTTCTAGCCATCCATCCAGCATTTAATTTTGTTTCCAGTTTTTTTAACTCGCTTGAGAAGTTTACCTTACAAGTTGTATAACTCAGTTGAAATTGTGGCAATTTTTAAAAATAAACATTTGGCCATAGAGAGCAAAAACCTTAATAGTGTTTATGGAGAGTAAACAAACAAACAAAAACCCCTCTATTAAAAAGTGGTTGTTTATGCCTGAAATTTGACTGGCTTTAAAATTGTTAAAATATCACTTTTAAAAAATAGAATTATTTTCTCATTCTGGCTCAATAGCTGTTTGAGGGGTAACAGAAAGAGCAAAAGTTCATTAAGGAACCCCTTTCTGAGAGCTATACTGAAAACACTGATGCTGTGATGGTTTTGGTGGAAATAAAACTTAAGAGCCACGTTGCATTCAAGATATGTTAGAAGCTCAGAAAGGGAAGCATCAATAATGGGGGGGGGGGAACTAAATTGTCAAAGAATGGAAGTTTTATCTCCATGATGTGCTTGCCGCCAGCATGACTCAGCTGGGGAGGCCATCATTCCTACCGGGGACAGACAGTGTGGAGTTCCTTGTCTTCCTAGCATGCAAGCTGTTTTCCCTGTGCATTCTGCTGAATAGCTGGCAGCAGATGTAGCGTGCACCTTGCTACTGAGGAACTAGCTTTCTTCCACACCTCAGCAAAGCTCTGCACAATCTAGAACATGGGGTTCATCTACACTGAAGCGTTTTTCCGGAATAATGGACGTTATACCGGAAAAACAATACTTGCATCCACACTGCAATTGCTTTCTTTCGACAAAAAGCCAAAAGAACGGATGGGTTTTTCTGACAGCGGTAAACCTTTTTCTACAAGGAAGAATGCCTTTTCTGAAAAAGCTTTTTTGGAAAAAGACATGTGTAGACACAGTAGAGGGAGTTCTGTCGAAAAAAGAGACCTCGAGGAAAAAACAGAGGTGCCTTGCTAGCCACTCCATCTACACTCATCACAACTCTATAGTTCCTGTCTCCTGGCAGCTCTTAAAGCCGCGGGCACCCGAAATGAGGCTTGTAGCAGGAAGCCAGACCTGGAACCTGCACCTCACTGCGAGGCTCACAGTGCCACACTTCTCTGGACCCACAGCCCAGCCTCAGGTTTGAGAGTCTACTGGCCCTCCCAGGGAGCATGCCCAGGGCTCCCAGGAGCCTGCCAAGGGCTCCCAGGAGCCTGCCAAGGGCACCAAAAGGTGTGTGTCGTCATGGTCTGGAGCAGAGATCCTGGCCCTCCTGGAGGTCTGGAGTTAGAAGGAAACCCTGCAGGATCTCCACTCTAGAAGAAGGAAGGTGGACATCTACAGCCAGATGGATGAGGTCCTGCCCATGAGGGGCCAGCACCCCAAGACTCTGGATCAAGTCAGAAGCAAGGTAAAAGAGCTCTGGCAAGGGTATGCCAGGGCGTGCAGCTCTCGCTCCCGGGCAGAAGGCCACTCCAGCCCCTATTACAATGAGCTCCACCGCATCCTGGGGGGCAGTGCAGCCCCTTCCCCTCCCCTTGTCATGGACTCGGGGCTGGCGATTCCCGGCCAGAGGAGGAAGAGATGGTCAGCACCATCACACTCAGCCTGGAGCTAGTACCCTGCGGCCTGGATCTCTCCCAGGCATCCTCCGAGGCTGGGGAGGGATCATCAGGTGAGTGCTCTTAGTTTTTCTCACACACAGGGCGGGAGTGGTGGGTGCTGAGGGGCTTGGGTGCAGTCATCACTAAGCCTTGTCAGCCTGGCCATTGTGCTGCAGTCCGTTCATGTGAATGCACGTACAATGCCAGTCTGCCCCACGCAGCCTCACGGGGCAGCTCCGGAGCACCCCAGGGCTCCTGCTCACAGAATCTGCGGAGGCCAGACCCACTTCTGACCCCTGGGGGAGATGCCCTCCCACCACCAGCCACTGCTGGAAGCAGGCTTGGGACAAGGGCGCATGCATGCCCATACACAGACTGAGGAGTGCCACACACAGGCGTGCCTGCCCTCTCGATTCACCACCCGCTCCCGGGAACAGTCCTGTCAGGCGCAGGTGTGTATGCAGCCCCAATGGAAGGCCAGGTTATTCCAGGCCCCTGTCCTGCCAGTGGGATCCCAGTGTGGCCAGACTCTTCCCTTGCTTGCTAGTCCGTGGGATGGGCAGGGACGGGAAGCATGGTCCCCTGTGAGGCAGGGCCCACTGTCCAGGCCACGCATGGCCTTGCTCCCTGGACATTACTGTCCTCTGGCCCAAGGACTGTTATGCGCAGCTCACAGAGGAGAGCAAGGCCTTAGGGACAGTGTCTGCATGGATGACTGACCACCTCTCCCTCTTTATTCTCCACAGCCAGACTAGCCATGACTGAGGGGCGATCACCAGCAGGCAAGCCAGCTGCCCCACTCCAGGGGAGTCACTAGTGCCAGAGGGTCCAGGAGGACCTCATGAGGGAGCATGTGGACGTCCTCTGGGACATGGAGCAAACCTTGGCCAGAAGGTCCTGTATGATTCCCAATGGTGGGCCCAAATATGGACCAAGCTGGTGCAAAAGGGCTGCAACATGTGTGCCACCATCCAGGAGATGATGGCATACCCGGCTTCTGTCCCTGTTCCTGTCCCTGCCCCTTGCCATGCCTGACCCCTCTCCCCCTGCTATGCCTGACCCTGCTCCAGTCCCTCCCCCACCCCGCCTGCCCCACTGTTGTCCCTGCCCCCCACTCCCAAGGTCGCCAAGTTCTCCAGACCCAAGGTTGAACTTCCAGCCGCACCACGTGCCACTCCCAGCTCCAGCTGAGCCCTCCTCTTCCCTCCCCCTATCCAGGTTCCAAGCCCCCTCCTCAGTTTCTTTTATTATAAAAAATACAGAGATATTGGTTTAACACAAACCTTTGTATTTATTGAGTGTACAGGGAAGGGAGGGGTTGTTGTGGGAAAGGCATAGGGAGGCAAGGCACAGGCCCCTTGTGGGGAGGCCCTGGGGAGAGTTACTGGGGTTCTTGAGAGGAACTCTCCCTCAGGGTCTTCCGGATGCGCATCCCAAGTTGATGGGCCTGGCAGATGGCAGCTGTGCACGGCTGCTCAGAGACCCGTCCCTCCCAGCAGGCCTCTGCCCCCTGCCCTGGAAGAAAGGCCTCCCCCTTGCTTTCTACAATGTTGTGTAGAACTCAACAGGCCAAGATCACCTGGAGGATGTTGTGCTTTCCCACATTGAGGTGGGTCAGGAGGCACCTGAACCTCGCCTTCAAGTGTCCGAAGGCGCATTTGACCTGGATGCATGCCCTGCTCAGGCGGGCATTGAAACGGTTCCTGCTCAGGTCCAGGTGACCAGTGTAGGGCTTCATAAGCCATGTCATGAGGGGGTAGGCCGCATTCCCCTGACCCTGAAGTCATGCTGGGGGAAGAAAGCGCCAGCCTCCAGCTTCTGATATAGGCTGGAGTTTCTGAAGATGTGCCACCCCTCACCAACCAACAAAAATGTCTGTAAACTGTCCGCAGTGGTCGACAAGGGCCTGCAGGGCCATCGAAAAATAGCCCTTCCTGTTGATGTACTGGGTGGCTTGATGTTTTGGGGTCTGGATGGGGATGTGGGTTCCATCTATGGCTCCCCCGCAGTCGGGGAAGCCCAGGGCTGCAAATCCGGCAATGGATAGGGACCAGGTCTCCCAGGTGGATGACCCTGCACAGCAGGACGGAGTGGGTGGCCCTCATCACCTGTAGAAGGAGACAAAGACACAAAGCAGAGAATCACCCCAGGAACCACCCCTTATGTAGCTGCCTACCCACAGGGCTGGGTGGGGGTGGGACTGCAGAACTGCCCCACTCCCAGGTTCACCCCCCCAACCCCCCCTTCCCTA